AACCCCTAGGGGTTGACCCCTTCCTGCCACTTCTCCCGGCCAAGAGGTGGGGGAAAGGCTGGGATGGCAGACCGGGAATTAAACTGGGAGGTGGCCTGGCTGGACTCTAGGTCAGGGTCCCCGGGCCTCCCAGGAACGTCCATTTGCCCACGGGCATTTTTTACGGGGCCTTGCAAGACTCAAATAATTGGATGGGGCTACTATGTCGTGGCTGCAAACATCAAGGTGGCCCCTAGGGGCAGCGGTGAGAACTGGGTTGGGTTACCCTCTGCTGCTGCCTAGAGGCCACGCAGAGGCCTGCAGCTCCGATACGGCAGCTTTAACTTTTGAAAGGAGCGATCTGGAGCTTCCACGGAGCAAGGGAGATGTTTCCTAAAATGTGCAGGCTAGGTGGGCAAGGAACTCACATGCACAATGCATATTTTGCACCATGCCTGATCCCCCATCATCTTGGACCCTCCCTTCAAAGTGAAGCCCCCAGTCCCCAAATGTTCGCGCAAGCAAAAATGGCATCTTCTATTCATTATTCTTCCCTCCTCCTCAACATGCTTCCCTCCCTGTTTTATCTGTCTGCAAGAATTGAGTGTTTCTGCACAAATGGGTAGGATCAAAGGGTTTTACTTGTGAATAAAACAGACCTTCGTATTGTACTTGCACCATTTGGATTTTCCTGACGCAAGTTCTAATTTCTTATTTAATTTACATTAAACATAATTGCATTTAATATAACTTAATAATTTCTATTAACTATATTATAATTCATTCTTTAATTCAGAGTTCCTTGCCTCCCTGAAATGATTCAAATGTTCAGGCTCTTTCTTTGTTTATTATTTTTCTGAAAGTTTTCTGGGAAAGTTACAGAAAAAAAGAATACAATATATTTAAAACACAAACACCAGAGCATCAGAAAATGGATCAAATGGAAAACAATGTTTACCTTTCCAGCAGAGCCAAAACAAAACCCGTTGGCCACAGAAGATTTGTAACTTTCAGCCCGACTTAGATGTTGGCTTGTATTTAAACCTAAGTTGTGTCAAAGGCCTGGGGAGGGGGTTGCAAAAGTCCCTGCTAGAAAAAGTATTCTAAAACATGGTGTGTGCCCATTTTTCTTGGGAGCTGTTTCGAAATCAGCTCATTTCAGAAGACCCGGTCATTTCCCCACCGGCCACTTACAGCATCTTCATAGCATCACCAGCGTCATCAGCCATGGCTGAACAATGTGATGTCTTCATATCCTGCAAAGTAAAAGTGTTTATATCACTTCAACAATAACTAGGTTGGAGAATGTGGGGTTTTGGCATGCTACAGGAACTCAGTCATAGTTCTAGCATATCAAGGCATCACTTTAAACCATATTGTAGTTTATTATAAAGGAGCCAAGCTGGCTGGGGAATTCTGGGAGTTGAAGTCCACACGTCTTAAAGTTGCTGAGGTTGAGAA